GTGTAAACTGAACGTCGGCCCGCGGCCGCGGCTGTAGGGAGGCCCCCGACTTCCCACGTGGGCCACTCGGACGTGCGTCCCGGACCTCGGGGCGAAGCGCCCCCGGCTCACCTGCAGCTCCTTGTAGAGGCGGTCGAGCTCGGCCGCGGCGCACCTGCCATCGTGCCGCCCGTCCAGCCGGCCGTTCCTGAGCACCTCCAGCTGCCTGCCCAGCTCCTCCACCTTGGACACGGCCAGAACCAGCTCCCTCTGCTTCTGCTGGAACAGGCTGTTCATCTGCTCGATCTCCTCCACTGGAAGGACAAGAAGAAAGGCAACCGGGGCTGGAAAGAAAACTACGAACGAGCGCTCCCAGGCAACCTGGCTTTGCGACGAGCCTCGGGACACAGCGCAGACATTTCAGAAAGGCCCCGAAGCCTTCTCTTTCCCAGGCGGCTGGAATCGGCAGACGCATTCTGAATGAGCCTCCCTCTGGAGGGGACTCTGGCAGGACCCGGATCTCGAGTATTAAACTGCAAACTTGGGCAACAACAAAATTTATTTAGGCCTCTGAACCTGCGCTTTATAAAAGCGGTAGAGGGAGTCGTTAAGTCACTAAAATTTTAATTAAGTGGTATTGTAACAGACCTACTCTATGAATAAAAATCCTTCGTCAAACTTCCAGTCAAAAAGTATTTAGAGGGGAAAAAACCCAAAGAAACCACCAGGACATTTTCCAAAGGTGAGTCAGGAACCTTGTCGAAAGCGCCCGGCAGCTGACTCCTATTCACGGGTGTCCGAGCTGCAGGGAATTCTGCTTTCCAGCAACTCGGAGGTCCCGTCCTGCTCTCGCCCCTGGCCACGCCTGTCGCCGGCCCCCGCCCGGCCCCCGCCCCCACACCGGCCGCCCCCGGGCTCCGCTCACCGAGCCGGCCGTTGCTCAGCCTCTTCTGCTCCACGTGGCCCCTGAGCGCCCTCACTTTCTTCAGCTTCGCCTCCTGGCTCTCCGCGATCTCCTTCAGCCTCTTCAGTTTCTCCTGCTCCGCAGTCTGCTGCTGCTGGCGCTCATCCTGCTGTTTCAAAAACTTCAAGCGCTGCTCCTGAAGACACAGGCCAGGGTCAGCACGCCCTTCCCAGCAGGTGCGCCACAGCCCGGAACGAACCCAGACCAGCCCGCGAGGCACCCGCTCCTGGCCGCAGCCCTCCATCCTCACGGGGACAAGACCCAGGAACGAGCACACTTATTCCCCGTGGTTCTCGTGCCGCGAGCGAACAGCCCATCCGGAACTGGTTCTCACGGGCCGTGGCTACAGGTTTAGGAGAAGCTCACACAGAGACACGCTCGCTACAAAGGCGGCTTTGGAGCCAGATTGGGACTCCCAACCCACGTGCTGCCACTTACGGGCTCTAAGACTGGGCAAACCGCAGAACCTCACTGCCTTCCTCAGCTCTGAAGTGGGGCGACCGGCAAGGAGCGAACCGTGAAATGTGACTCTCTTCACACAGCACCTTGCACAGCTAGTGCACACTCAACACACACTTAGGAAAGAGGTGAAGAACCACTTAACGCTCTAAAAAACCAGAGCGTAACATTCTATCATACGAAAATTTTTAACTGAAATCGAGTAACAGAGTCACACAACTTATCATCAAGAGTAACCTCAAGTTAATATGCCTGAAACAGAAGTAACACAAAATAGTTTCGAAGTAAGTCCCCAAAATTGAAGATTTGTTCTATTACTCAACCTTATTTTTATCTATCAGCACAGAACCTGACGCAAAGCTTGATCTCACGAACCGTGAGATCATGACCTGAGCTGAAATCAGGAGTTGGATGCTTAATCAACTGAGCCAACCAGGTGCCCCAGAACATGCATTTTTTTAAATGTTTATTTTGAGAGCGAGAGCGCGCATGAGCAGAAGAGGGGCGAGGAGAGAGGGAGAAGATCCCGAGCAGGTTCCACTCTGTCAGAGCACAGCCCGACATGGGGCTCGATCCCACGAACCGTGAGATCATGACCGGAGACAAAATCAAGAGTCAGACACTTAACTGACAGAGCCACCCAGGCGCCCCCAGAACATGCATTTTTAGCAAGACCCCTAGGTGATTCATATGCACACTGAAGTATGAGAAGCAATGCTACAACGGATTTTGAAGGTGCTGGTGCCTGGCATCAGAGACAGAAACGGACACATGGGAGTCCTGGCACTATGACAAGGAGGGCCCCAGGGCGTGTCGCTGGGGACCTCACACGCCAGACCACCACTGGTACCCTAGCTCCAGTGAACTTACAGTCACTAAAAGACTGGTCAGGTGCAGACACTGAGTGTTCAGACCAGGGACGGCAGGTGAAATCCAGCCTGCTGTTTTTAGAAGTCCAGTTTTTGGGGGACACAGCCATCCATTCGTTTGCGTCCACGGCCATTTTAGTGCTACAACCATAGAGCTGAGACCGTTAGCCTGCAAACCCCAAGATACCGATTCCCAGCCTCTCTGGAGGAAGTCTGATGACTTAGACCAGAAACCTGTGGCCGGCAGGAGAGGGAACAGGGAGACTGGTCTGGAAGGTAATGGAGGCTTCTTTTGTTTTTTCACCTGTTCGAGGCCAGGATGAGCATTAGCCTGTGGGGGCAGGATGTCTCAGAAGA